CTTGAAATAAGACAATGCAACTGTGTTTTCTTATTTTAAGTGTAAATCTTGTTTCATTGGCAGAATGTCTCTTTTACCTCCTCAATTCAAGAACAAATGCACTTATTTTAAGAAAAAAATGACTTATCTAGATTCAGATTTTTTGCAGTGCAGTAATTAGTTCTGGCCCTCGGATCCATGGGAAGGACGGCTGGCTTCACAGTTTCCGCACAAGGCAGCATCAGGTTGTTCACAGAGAGCTGGAAAGTTGAGTGGAAGGAAAAAGTGTGCACAGGAAGCTGGGATAGAAGTAACAGAAACCGAGATAAATGCTTGAAATATATGTCAGCGTGTAATTAATCAAGTCATCTATCTGTTTATTAAAAATGACCTCGATAACAGTTGTCTTAAACTGTTATTAGGAATATTTTGCTCTACTTTCGTCTTAAACATACTTTAAATCTCCGCTTCCTTCATAAATGTGTTGTGCTTTTTTTTCTCTGTGGATAAAAGAATGAAGTAAGCTGATTTTTTTTCTAGGCATGCGTAAAAACAGCAAGAAGAAAAACTCTTAACAGAATCACATAGGAGGCTAAAGCTGACTGCCGGCGTCGGTCTGGTTCTAAATGATGAAAGGAACCCCGACCCGCCTGGATCGGCTGCACTTCCTGGATTCCTGGATGGAGAAAAGTTGCTTTGAGTTGTTTTTAAATGTCAGAAGCGAGGTCCTTCCATGATCGGTGCAGTTAAACCCTTCGTCTCCGGTGGGATTATTAAGATGAAACTGACAGCGATGCAGAAATATAGGGAAAAAAAACATGGAATGTTTGGGTTGGTGTGGCAGAGCGGGGAGAACTGCAGGCTGAAAGGTTTTCTGATGAGGCTCAGAATGAGGATTCCTGGGTGACCAATCAGACCATTACACCCGGTTCCAGGTGGAACATCTGAATGAAGGATGCGAGGAAACGAAAGGTTACCTTCCGACCACAGAAAGGAACGAACAAACTCAGTCTGAGTGAGAGCGCCGCCGCCGCCTGGAGACGTCAGTAGCTGTCCAGCGAATCGTCCCAAAATAAACTCTGAGCGTCCAGCATGGCGGCCAGCTCCAGGATGTGCTTCTGTAAGAGGCTGCTCTCTACCGTGTCCTGCTTCGGCAGCTCGGGATACGATTCCGGGAAGCTCCGAGATTCCTGCCGACACAACAGACAGCTCAGGTTTTTGCTTTTTCATTTTTTAGTCAAACATTTGGGTTTAGTTTATTTAAAGGCACACTATGCAACATTTGTCAGTTAATTAATGTGTTCCATAACGTTTTGGATGATTAAATGAGTCATTTCAGGTCGAACAAAGGTTTTCTCGGCCGCCCTGGTGGTCTGTAGGGGAAATACTGCACTTGCAATTGCAGGAGCCCTCGGCCCGCCCCCACAGGCTCACAAGTCTGGCGCATCGCGAGAGTCAGTCTTGCTTTACGGCGAGAACTGCTACACGCCCCCAGTGAAAGGCATGCTCGTTGCTAGCTCAGTGGCGACATTTGTGCAGTTATCGTGGTTAGTTAACATGCTAAATTTTCAAACTCGAAAATTGGAACAAAATAGTCACTTAGACATGGTGATTCGTTGCGTTCTGCTAAGCTCAAAACAACCACGCCTGGCTTGACGGAGAAACCAGGAGAACAGTTGAGCATATTTACTTTCAGCCTCTTGGGGGAGCCTCGCTGTAAGATCAACACCAGTTGCATAGTGTACCTTTAAGCTAGCTTTAAAAGTATTTCCACCGCTAGAACTTCTCTCCCATAATAACTTCATTGTGTCTGTCAATAGAATTACTATTTTTGCCCTTAAAATATGATATTTAGATATTATGAATGACTTCTCAGTGGAGCAGTGGGTAGCACTGCTGCCTTTCAGCAAGAAGATTCTGGGTTCAATTCCCCGCCCGGGGTCTTTCTGCATGGAGTTTGCATGTTCTCCCTGAGCGTGCATGAGTTCACATGTCCATCACTGTCACCCAG